TTCCAAAAAGAGGTCATTTGGAGGTGTTTGCACTGCCCTGGCATTTTAGCACCTCAAGAAATGTGACAGGCAGTCAGAAAGTAAAAGCTGTATAAATTCCAGTATCTACAGTATACCATAGTTTGTAGACGCTATAACTTTCACACAAAGCAATCAATATATACTTATTGGGATTTTTTTTTTTACCAAAGACATGTAGCAGAATACATTTTGGCCTAAATTTATGACTAACTTTGAGTTTTATATAACCGAAAGTAAAAAAATTGAAAATTTCCTAAAATATACTTACTGTAATTTTCCTTTCCTGATTGACTCCATGGCAGCATACATATGGGTTAGTCCTGCCCTCTGTTCTTCTACAGGACACCACTCCCATAAATCTTTGCTCCTCGCCAGAGGCCGTGTTCCATAATTAGTCTACTCATGGCATTGGGAGGGTACTCCTGCTGTCCATCAGGAAAGGAAAATTACGATAAGTATTTGATAAGAAATTTTCAGTTTTCCTGACAGACTCCATGGCAGCATACATATGTGAAATAACTAGCCACACACACATGACAAAGACTTTAATTTGCCCCGTCGACCAACAGGACATTTTTAAACCAAAATTAACAGAGGCGAAATGCCAGAAAGCCACCCAGGACATAGCCACACTTCTGTGGCTTGAGTGTGCGGTCACTGCCTCCAGAGGCACCAAGCCCTTAGCTCTGTAGGTCATTTGGATGGCCTGGATGATCCAGGCCGCAATTGACCTGGGAGACGCCCGTTCCCCTTTACTCTTTCTGTGGAAAAGGATGAATAGACGGTCCGACCTACGGAAGGATGCTGTGACCCGCAAGTATAGCCTAAGGGTCTCAAGTACGTCCAGGGGGTGAGCCTCATCGACTCCTGTGGCTCTAAATGTTGGCAGGACAATCTCTTGGTTCTGATGAAAGACTGAGATCACTTTATGATCAGAACCTAGCATAGGGATGAGGACCACTCGATCCAGAAAGAATGTCTAAAACTTTTCTTTACCGCCAAGGTTCCAGATTTCGGAGACTTTGTGCCGATGTAACCACCACCAGAAAGGCTGCCTTGATGGAGAGCTTCCTCACTATGAGTGGCCCAGCTGATTCTGGCATGCCTCCAGAGAAAAAGTCGAGGACAAGCAGCAGGTCCCAGTTTGGGAACATTGGTTTCCTCTGGGGCCTCCACCTTACTGCCTCTTTGAAGAATTGCTAAAACAGAGAGTGGTCAACCCATGATACTCCAGTGAAGGCCGAGATGGCTGACCAGGTCCAGGCCTGACTGCAGGAATCCCAGGACATCCTGAACCCTCAGATTACTGAAGGATCCATCCACGGTTAAGATATAGTCTACAAACTTAGACAAGACTCTTCCATAGACCCTGTTGGTACTTGGTCTGCTGGCATTCATCAGGGTAGGGGTGACTTCAGCAGGACAGCCTAAGGCCTCCAACCTCCCCCTCTCAAGAACCAGACCATTAGATGAAGCCAGGCTGGGCAAGGGTAAAGAATGACCCCCTGCGATAGCAGGTCTGCCTTGAGAGGGAGAGGAACTGGATCCCGAAAGCTGAGCTGCACCAGTAAGAGAAAACATGGTCTGTTCGGCCAGTATGGAATTACAGCCACTACCTCCACCGCTTCTGCTCTGAGCCTCTGAGGAAACCTGAAGATGACAGGGAACGGGGAAATGCATAGGCTGTGCGAAACCCCGACTGATCCATCAAAACATCTACCTCAAAGACCTGGGGACATCGATTCCTGGTGTAGAACATCCCCAGTTTGCTGTTGCACGGGGAGGTAAACAGGTCGACTTCTAGACTGACCCCGAGGGTCAACATCCACTTGAAAACTTCTGTGTTGAGAGACCACTCGTTGTCCAATTCAACCATGGAAAGGAAGTCTGCTTGCGAGTTCTGGACTCCGGGTACGTATACTGTCAATATGTCGGACAGGTTTCTCTGAACCACGATTGGCTCTACCTCTCGCAAGAGGGACAGGCTGTTGGTCCCACTCTGTCTCCTTATTTATTGTCGGACCTCAGGAAGACTGATTTCCCCCGTGTTAGGTGCTGGAAGGCCTGTAAGGCACAGAGTGCTGCTCGTAATTCCAGGACGTTCGACCCCAACCTGTGGGAGGGAAAGCTCCATCTGCCTTGAGCCATCTCTGACTGGCAGAGAGCACCCCATCCTGGCATCCGTAGTGATTGTGGCCCAGGAGATGTGGGCAATCGAATGGCAATTTAGCAGGTTCTTCCACTGCAGCCACCAAGAAGGCTCTCCTATATAGAGGAAGATATGTAAATGACCTGGCCCATGCTGCCTGGATTCCACTGTTGAAGAAAGCCCTTCTGGAAGGGTTGCATTCTCCACTGTGCCCAGTTCACCTTTGGCTCTGTGGACACCATGGTGCCAATGATCTTCAAGCACTGGAGGGCCTGAAGGTGTGAGGAATACAAGGCAGGTAATATTTAGCTCCGGATCACCGGAATCTTCTCCACGGGCAGGGAGATGGTGACGCCAATCATGTCGAAATGAGCCCTAAGGAATTTTAGAGTGGGCTCCAACTGGCTCTTCTCCATATTCAGCAACCACCTGAACTCGAGAAGGGTCGATATGATGTGGGCCCTGTGCTGTAGTAGCTGTACTCTGTCCTGGGATAGTAGGAGCAGGTTGTCTAGGTAGTGGTACAGGCGAATGCCTCTGGTTCTAATCAGAATTTAGATGGGTGAGGTCTATAACTGGCCTCCAGGCCCTTCTGGACCAAAAAGAGGGGTGAGTACATGCCCTGAAATTGTTTGCCCTCTGGAACCGGCATGACAGCACCCTGCCCCAGCGGAGAGCCCACGTAGGACAGCAGGATTTTCCTCCTTTCTTTGGAATGTGGAAGGGCCATCGGGGTGAATGTGAGATGAGGAGGGCTCTTGAAGCATGTCCTAAAGATATGTTGACGGCCCAGGCGTCCCCAATTGAAGTCGCCCAGACATGCCGAAAACGGCGAAGGCGTGCCCCCACCTGGCCTGCCGGAGCAGGCCCAATCTCAGAAGGACTTTGTGGCCTCACAACCTCCAGAGGTTGAGCCCTTGGAGGATCTCTGAAAAGACGATTGAATTCTCCTCCAGCTTCTCTTGAATTCACAGCCCGGCTTGTAGAGGCGTGCATCCCTAGCTCGTCCTGAGCCTTGACTTCTGGGCTGAGCCCTCATCTGGTGTGGCAGATGCCGACCCTGGGGCAGGAAACCGGACCTCCCGCCTGTAGCCTGGGCTATAGCACTGTCCAGTTTGTTCCCAAACAGGGAGGAACCTTCAAAGGGGATCTTGCACCATGCCTGCTTAGAGGCTGGATCAGCCAACCAGAGCCGAAGCCACAACACACGCTTGGCTGTCACTGAGGACAGCATAACCCGAGTGTTATCTGTGGGTGGTTTGGTTCGTTTGCACTGTGTTATGTTTTAGTATTGCACTGCGTTTATGTTTGTATTGTTAGTCTTTAATAAATTATATTGTTTATAACTTATCTGAAGCCTGCGTTTCCCTGCGTCAGTTCACATACCTCTGGTCATACCCTGGAGCCCTGACAGTACACCAAGGCCAATCCTGACCAGAAGTGGCTGCACAGGGAAGCCATCTTGGCTTGTTGCTGGGAAGGATGGATCTTGATGAGGTTGTGTATTTATCTCTGCTAGTGTTTGATGACAGAGAGTATGCTTATCAAACTCTGAAGGAGTATCCCAGGGATGAACTGCTAGAATGTATACGGATCGCTCATTGCCTAGTAGATCAGGGCACAGAGTTCTCTGAGGTGCAGCCATTGATTCAGGTTTGTGCGGAGTTGGTTTCATCTGGTACCCCTGAATGCAGGGATGAATTTTTGCCCCCATTTAGTGCCAACCAGGTAGAGTCCCTGGTATGGTTATTAGAGGATGATGTGGATTACTTTCTGGAGCGTTATTCTGCATGTTCACAACAGGTACTAAGAGATTGTATAAACGCAGTGCAGTCTTTGGTCAGACAGGCTTTGTGTAAGCTGAGCTTTGTTCAACCCATACTGCAGACATGGTCAGACTTGTTGCACCCAGCCTCAGTCAGCTTGCAAAAACCCAGTCCTGCTTCTAATCTATTTCTTCAAAGCTCTATTCCTGCATTCCCAACAGCACCTCCAGTTACAGCCCAGTATACCATGCTATCTACCGCATGTCAGTACCCTGTTCCCACTCGCTGCACCTATCCTGCCTTTAACCCTGTAAAGAAGCCCTCTGTAGCAACTGTTCCCTCCCCTGTTCCATCCTCCAGCTCTTCTGTCTCCAGCTGCTCCATCCGTTTACAAACCTGCGCTTACTTACGGTGCTCCGGTAACTAAAACCAGGAAAAGGCGAAAGTTCTTTCCAACCAATACCATCCTGCCAGTATCCAAACCGGTCAGCCTCCCATCTGAGAACCTGCCTTCCATGGTGCAGCCTGGTGCCTCGGCGCCCACAATTCAGCCTGATGCCTCTACCCAGCCTGATGCCTCTACCCAGCCTGATGCCTCTACCCAGCCTGATGCCTCCATTCAGCCTGATGCCTCCACCCAGCCTGATGCCTCCACCCAGCCTGATGCCTCTACCCAGCCTGATGCCTCCATTCAGCCTGATGCCTCCATTCAGCCTGATGCCTCTACCCAGCATAATGTTTCTACCCAGCCTGATGAACTGATCCAGCCTGATGATTCCATTTGGCCAGTTGACTCGATGCCCGCTGTTGATCCAGACGATCCGGTACCTGATGCCCGCTGTGATGCCTGGTGACCCAGTGCCCGCTGTCATACCTGGTGACCCGATGCCCGCTGTCGAGCCAGACAATCCCATGCCTGATGACCCAGTGCCCGCGGTCATGCCAGTTGACTCGGAGCCCACTGTCGTGCCTGATGACTCGGTGCCCACTGCCTTGCTAGATGACGCGGTGCCCCGCTGGCGAGCCAAATGACCTGATGCCTGGTGACCCAGTGCCCGCTGTCATGCCTGGTGACCCGATGCCCGCTGTCGAGCCAGACGATCCAACGCCAGATGACCCGGTGCCGCTGTCGATCCAGATGATCCGGTACCTGATGACCCGGTGCCCGCTGTCGTGCCAATTGACTCAGAGCCCACTGTCGTGCCTGGTGACTCGGTGCCCACTGCCTTGCCAGATGACGCGGTGCCGCTGTCGAGCCAAATGACCTGATGCCTGGTGACCCGATGCCCGCTGTCGAGCCAGACGATCCAATGTCTGACCCAGTGCCCGTGGTCATGCCAGTTGACTCGGAACCCACTGTCGTGCCTGGTGACTCGGAGCCCCCACTGCCTTGCCAGATGACGCGGTGCCCGCTGGCGAGCCAAATGACCTGATGCCTGGTGACCCGATGCCCGTTGTCGTGCCTGATGACCCGGTGCCCGCCGCTCCGCCTGGGGGCCCAGTGCCCGTCGCTCCGCCTGGGGGCCCCGGCGCCCGCCGCTCCACCTGGGGGCCCGGCGCCCGTCGCTCCTCCTGGGGGCCCGGTGCCTGCCGCCCCTCCTGGGGGCCTGGTGCCTGCCGCTCCACCTGAGGGCCCGCGCCCGCCGCTCCACCTGGGGGCCCGATGCCTGTCGCTCCGCCTGGGGGCCCGATGCCTGTCGCTCTGCCTGGGGGCCCGGCACCCGCCGCTCCGCCTGGGGGCCCAATGCCTGTCGCTCCGCCTGGGGGCCCGATGCCTGTCGCTCCGCCTGGGGGCCCGATGCCTGTCGCCCCCTTCTGGGGGCCCGGCGCCCGCCGCTCCGCCTGGGGACCCGGCGCCTGCCGCCCCTCCTGGGGGCCCGATGCCCGTCGCCCCTCCTGGGGGCCCGGTGCCCGCCGCTCCACCTGGGGGCCCGGTGCCTGCTGCTCCGCCTGGTGGCCCAGTGCCTGCTGCTCCGCCTGGTGGCCCGGTGCCTGCTGCTCCGCCTGGTGATCCGGTGTCCAGCTCGATGTGCCTCTGCCCGGAGTCCTGCCCGATGTGCCGCTGCCCGGAGTCCTGCCCGATGTGCCGCTGCCCGGAGTCCTGCCCGATGTGCCGCTGCCCGGAGTCCTGCCCGATGTGCCGCTCCCCGGAGTCCTGCCCGATGTGCCTCTGCCCGGAGTCCTGCCCGATGTGCCTCTGCCCGGAGTCCTGCCCGATGTGCCTCTGCCCGGAGTCCAGCCCGATGTGCCTCGCCCGGAGTCCAGCCCGATGTGCCTCTGCCCGGAGTCCAGCCCGATGTGCCTCTGCCCGATGTGCCGCTGCCCGGAGTCTTGCCCGGTGTGCCGCTGCCCGGAGTCCTGCCCGGTGTGCCGCTGCCCGGAGTCCTGCCCGGTGTGCCTCTGCCCGATGTGCCGCTGCCCGGAGTCCTGCCCGATGTGCCGCTGCCCGGAGTTCTGCTCGATGTGCCGCTACCTGGAGTCCTGCCCGGTGTGCCGCTGCCCGGAGTCCTGCCCGGTGTGTTGCTGCCCCGGAGTGTCCTGCCCGGTGTGCCGCTGCCCGATGTGCCGCTGCCCGGAGTCCTGCCCGATGTGCCGCTGCCCGATGTGCCGCTGCCCGGAGTCCTGCCCGATGTGCCACTGCCCGGAGTCCTGCCCGATGTGCCGTTGCCCGGAGTCCAGCCCGGTGTGCCGCTGCCCAGAGTCCTGCTCGGTGTGCCTCTGCCCGGTGTGCCGCTGCCCGGAGTCCTGCCCGATGTGCCAGTCTTTGATATCCCGCCAGTTACCAGACCCGGGCGGTGGAACATTTTGCCCAGCTAGGACTGTTTGGAGCGTCCTGAGGCCGCTCCTTGAGGGGGGGGTACTGTCAGGAATGGACTTGCCAGTATTGGTGGGACTCACCTGCCTTGTGGGCTGCAGTACCAGGGCTGGCCAGCGGGTGCTCCCAGCAATCAGAGACTCAACCCTGCAGCCAGCCATACACCTGAAGTTGATTATGCAGGTGTATTTAAGGAATGGCCAGACCTGCAGTCTCTGCCTTGGTGTGTGTTTTTCCTGGGCCCCTGTATCTTGTTACCTGCATCCCTGTTCCTGTTCCTGTCTCTGTCTGATTCGTTGCTGACCCTGCCTGATCCGGACCTCTGCTGACTTCTCCTGTTTTATCCCTGGCTTGTGACCCCGACCATTCTCTGCCTGACCCCCTGTACCTACCTGCCCGATTGTTATTGACCCGGCCTGCCTGACGATGCTTGCATTGTATGTACTGTTATCTGTGGGTGGTTTGGTTCGTTTGCACTGTGTTATGTTTTAGTATTGCACTGCGTTTATGTTTGTATTGTTAGTCTTTAATAAATTATATTGTTTATAACTTATCTGAAGCCTGCGTTTCCCTGCGTCAGTTCACATACCTCTGGTCATACCCTGGAGCCCTGACACCGAGCCAGCAGACGGGTAAGGTCGATTGAGGCCTCCCCCAGAAAGGCAGATGTCAACCTCAGCCCTTGAATACCTGAATTCTTAGCCACGTCTTCCGGAACTCCTCTGAGGGCCGCATGCACGTTATCTGACCACACTTCCATAGCATTAGACAAGGCCGCTAAGGTAAGCGCCGGCTTGCAAGTCATCCCAGACGTAGTGTAGATTCGCTTGAGATTGGAATCGATTCTCCTTTCCAGGTTGTCCTCAAAGGACACCGAATCCTTGAGAGGGAGGGTAACATTCTTGGCTAGCCTCATCAAGGCTGCATCCACCAGAGGGGCGGCTTCTTCCCACTTCAGGGCCTCTTTGACTGCTTTAACTAAGGGAGAGACCAAGGCGAAATCGAAGCCCACACACGGATCTTCACTCTCCACCTCACAATCTGAGGCTCCAGCTGACAGGTGGCTAGGTTGTGAAGGCTCCAATCCCTTTTGGGGATCTTTGTGAGGGGAGCACACCCTGACTGATGGGCTGTGGGCGTGACTAGTCCCAATTTCTTTCACAGACTCTTGAACGACCTGTCTGACTAAAGCCTCTGTTGGTTGGCGTTTTCTCTCTTGCCGATCGCCCATGCAAAACAGGAGGCACATAATGACCTGTCGTCAGGAACCTGAGAATCACACCCTCAGCAAGTTTTTCTATTGGAGCAGCCAGAGTGCCCCTTAACACAATGCCTGGAGGAGGAAAGAGAGCTTCTCCTATGATGCCTGGAGCTGGAAGGAGACCTGTCTCATCCAGATTTAGAGGACAAGTGATGGCGCTGAGACCTGGACGCACTTCTGTGATCGTGTGCTGTATAGTGGCGATCAGACCTAAAAGGGCTGAACGAGAGAAAGAAAAAAAAAAGACACAGAACAGGGGATAGTTAAAAGCCACAGAGGGCCAGCCACAAGGAGGCGGTGACACATCCATACCGGGTCAGCTGTGAAGGCAACCTAGCAACCACGCTGTAAAAAAAAAACCCATGACATGCAGAATCCCAGCAAACCACCAGGGGAAGCAGGAGGGAGCAGATACTAACGTTCACAGTGGAACACAGTGCTTGGAGAAGCTGCCACATTTAGTCCTCAGGATTTCCCAAAGAAAACAGCACTGACAGCTGTTTAAGTTTGCCGCCAAAGCTATGACGTCGACGCCAATGTACTGCACATGCGCCAGACCCCGTATTGCGCATACGCGAATCCAAGCCTTTTTCCTCCGGAAGTACGCTGGAGACCGCTCTGGACCAGGAAGCAAAGGCCTAGAGGGCAGTATTGCACTCCAGGCACCCACTAACACCAAGAAAAGTGAGACAATAAGGAGCAAAAATGAGACCCAATGAGACCCTGGGCAAGGGCGCTGCTTACCAACCCCGCACAGCCACGACCACCTGACTTGGAGACCGCCTCGTCCGTTCTGGCGCTACATGGACACCCGCTATTAGTAGGCTATTTGGCCCAAGTGCCGCTTGTCCCCCATTGTCAGACCTGAGCTCTTCCAGGCACCGACTCTTGCTCGCCCATTTCCACCCTGTTATTAGCTGGGGAATGCTGAAATTGATGAGAGGACGCCTGCTCCGCCACTCCCGGCACCGCATCTATCTGCTGTGTCCAATACCCCGCCTTTAGCTGGGGACTCATGGAACTGACAAGTGGCGAGTTGCCTCGCATCTCCCTGAGAGGCTCGCCAGGCCTTGGTCACGGATCATCTTTTATGCGGGAACCAGGTAAGACTTGCACTAGGTCCATTGGAGGAAGACAAAAAAGGAACACGGCCTCTGGAGAGGAGCAAAGATTTATGGCAGTGGGGTCCTACAGGAGAAGAGAGGGTGGGACTAACCCATACGCATGCTGCCATGGATTCTGTCAGGAAATATAGTTTCTTTTTAAAAATTTACAGTTTTTTTGGTTTATAGAGCAAAAAATTTAAAACCCAGCGGTGATCAAATACCACCAAAAGAAAGCTCTATTTGTGTGAAAAAAAGGACATAAATTTTGTTTGGGTACAGCATTGCATGACAGCGCAATTACCAGTTAAAACAGCACAGTGCCGAATAGCAAAAAATGGCTTGGTCTGGAAGGGGGGTACATCCTCTGGAGGGCAAGTGGTTAATTCCTTTTTAGCCACTTGCCGACCGTCCGCAGTACTTGTACTGTAGACAGACAGCAGCTACAAGCGGTGTACTGGTACACCGCTCTGGCTGTACTAACACGCCTAAGCAGATGCACAGCACGTCTCCCCTTGACCACTGTGCCCACCGGACACAGCGGAATGCGGATCCCACACATGATCACAATGCTAGCAAAGCTGTTTGTTATGAATCATAACAGCTTTGATTTTCTTCCTGGTGAGTTCTGATTGGCCCACAGCTCTCACATGGTACATGTGCCAATCACAGCACCCTGTACCATGTGATTAGCTGTAGCTAATCACAGATCACTAGTAGTTTGAACTATTATGAATGTAACCCATTCATCACAGTTCAAAGCAAGCATTGCATTGAAAACGCATCTTTATTGCTCCTGCAATGCAAAGTGTGAAAAAAAAAATCTCTGATGACCCCCCCTCGAGTAGTACAATGTTACTATGGCAAGGTATTTTTTTAAATACTAAAAAAAGAAAACGAATGATAAAAAAATTTATAAATGTAAAATATTGAAAATTGAAAAAAAAAATTTCAGTTTTTTTTATAAAAACTACTTACTGACCTCCCACCCACAATGTGCGGCCGTGTGATGGCTCTGGGGAAAGTGATGCACCATTATGTCGCTTTCTATTTTTGGGTGTGAGCACGCATATGCGCACCTCAACTACTCCCCCTGTCAGTCCAGCGAGAGAAGAGAGAACACCACATTGAGTAAAATCACTACATCTTGCATGCACACACACACACCTGGGCAGCAGACTGAAGAAGACTGGTACTGGCGACAGCAGACACATAGGAAAGTTGCTGGTAGCAGACTGTAGATTGGCAGGTTCAGCAGA